AAGCAAATAATTTTGTGGCTGGGGGTCGCACTGCATGATGAACAGTATTAAAGGGTCACGGCATTAGGTAAGTTGAGAACCACTGGCTTAGAACAATAATTAATTGTCATGTTTTCGTCTGCTGCGGCTGTCACACAACTGATCCACGCTGCGGCTGTCACACAAGGGGGGGGGGGGGGGGGGGGGGGGGGCCAGGTCTTATAGAGGGAGTTCTCACAAGGGGGGTGGTCTCTCTAAGCAGAGGTTCTTATGATAGTGTGGTTTGTCTAATCAAGGGTTCTTATAACGATTTTTGTGTCTCTAAGCAGAGATTCCGATTTTGGTGATGTGTATCTTAGCAGGGGTTGGCATAAAGTTGAAATTGCAACTAAGTATATTCCCTCCTAAGGTTGAAGAGTCAGCAGAGTTTCCCTCTAGCTGTGTCATGTGCAAGTGTGTAGCGCAAGGTTTATAATGACAGCTTTAAGTTACACGAACTTATTTCAATGTGTATAAACACATTTTAATCGGGCAAGAGTCAATTGAGGCAAATTTTAATCGGGCAAGAGTCCATTGAGGCACATTTTACACGAACTTATTTCAATGTGTATAAAGACAGCTTTAAGTTACACGAACTTATTTCAATGTTTATAAAGACAGCTTCATGTAACACGTATTTATTTCAATGTTTATAACTACAGCTTTATGTAACACGTATTTATTTCAATGTTTATAAAGACAGCTTTATGCCAGTGACAATTAGATGCAACATTAATTTTGTTTGTTGTGTTTGAATAAATGGCGGGCAGTAGCATGTGTCATAAGTATAAATGGCTGTCAGGTTTGGCTGTAACATTTGGTTTTTATGATGGACTACTAGGTTCAACTACACGGTCGAACTACTGGGTTGGTCTACTAGGTTGAACAACTAGGTTTGACTACTAGGTTGGACTGCTAGGTTGGTCTGCTAGGTTGGACTACTAGGTTGAACTACTAGGTTGAACTACTAGGTTGGACTACTGGATTGGACTACTGGATTGGACTGGATTGGACTACTGGATTGGACTACTGGATTGGACTACTGGATTGGACTATTGGATTGGACTACTGGATTGGACTAATTTGACATTCATATGTAATTATAGGTGCATGGATTTGTGAGAGAGTAAGAGAGAGAGAGGGGGTGGGTTAAAAGCGAGAGAGAGAGAGAGAGAGGGGGTGGGTTAAAAGTGAGAGAGAGAATGAGAGGTGTCTTTGTGTGATGTTTTTGTTGCGTGTAAATTGAGTCTATTGTTAACTAATTGTAAAAGATATAATTGATGGACTGCATTCAAGTTGTGAGATGAAATCTAAGAACAAGGTAATCAACTTGAATTCATTAACAGGACATTTTTGTCCTGTTAATGAATTCAAGTTTAGCATACCTTGTTCTTAGATTCTTAACTAATTGTAACAAATGTGTTTTGCCGTCAGTATAATTCATATTATTTATAACTCAGGTTTAATCTTAAGTTTATTTATTCATATCTATTTTAACTCAAATTTATACTTTAATTAATTTATACACATCTATTATTACTCAAATTTACACTTTAGTTAAATTATTCATATCTATTATAACTCAGGTTTTCACTTAAGTTAATTTATTCCATATACAATGTAGGACGGACCAAATCCACGTGTCATCGAAAAATTAATTGCTTATAATTTGCATAAAAACTTGTCACTGCCTGGCACGGATGTCAGATTTTAAAGAGATTTAAGGACAAATCTTAGCGCAATTAATCCAGATTGTTTTTGTACTAAATTTACTGCCGGTTCATTTTACAAATATTACCTGCAATTTTAATGTACAAATAATACCTGCCGTATTCAATGTACTATAAGCTGCCATTTTATTGTACTAATATTACCTGCCATTTTTCATTCCATGTTACAAATGTTACATGTAATTTTAATGTACAAATATCACCTGCCATTTGCATTGTATTATTACCTGTCATTTTATTGTACACATTTTACCTGCCATTTTATTGTACAAATATTACCTGCCATTTTATTCATTCTTGTCTGTTTTCCTGTGTAGTGGCTTCTATAGGGTTTGTGACGTCATTTATTATTTTAAATATGCTAATCGTTATAACGAACTTTGTAATGTAGCCGTGTGTTAGGTCAAGGTCACATTTCTAATGTAGCCGTGTGTTAGGTCAAGGTCACATTTCTAATGTAGCCGTGTGTTAGGTCAAGGTCACATTTCTAATGTAGCCGTGTGTTAGGTCAATGCCACATTTCTAATGTAGCCGTGTGTTAGGTCAAGGTCACATTTCTAATGTAGCCGTGTGTTAGGTCAAGGTCACGTTTCTAATGTAGACGTGTGTTAGGCCAAGGTCAAGTTTTTAATGTTTCCGTGGGTTTGGTCAGGGTCAAGATTCTAATTGAGCCGTGTTTTAGGTCAAGGTCAAGTTTCGGATGTAGACGTGTGTTCGGTCAAGGTTAAGTTTCTAAATTAATTGTCCAGAATATAAAAAGCAATATCCCACGGTGATATGTATTAGCAGAAGTGTCAACAAATAATCTGTTAGAAGAAAAAGTCCTAATTATTTTGTTTAACTTCATGCATTGGGACATATACATATATATAAAGTACCGGGTATTGTTCATTTCTTAAGGTCAACTGAGTTTGAAAGGTAAAATGAACAAACCAAAATAAAAAGATCTTTGAACAAACAAAATGGGTTCATGTTCTTTAAATACGAACTCTGTTCTTAAAAGTATGAACTCGTCAGTGGCTACATAAACAAGCCAGTGCATATGTTGACATAGTCTACAGTGTAAGGAAGCCGGAGAAGGTGGGGGGGGGGGAGAGAACATAATAGAAATTAGAGTCTTAAAATAAAAGTTTACTTGTTTAGACAGCGACATCATTAATTTACGTCTAACAATTTATTGACGGTAGGGCTAATGGGAAAACGAACACAACATGGTCGACGAAAGAATTTTAACCAGGAGCCACACTGATCAACAAATTGATCATGGACCCTCAAAATATATAGAGAAAAATAGCGGAAATTCTAGAAAATGAAAAAAATTATCGAAAATGAATGTTTTCAATATAATGTCATTGGTGACATAGTTAATGTCATTGGTGACATAGTTAATGTCATTGGTGACATAGTTAATGTCATTGGTGACATAGTTAATGTCATTGGTGACATAGTTAATGTCATTGGTGACATAGTTAATGTCATTGGTGACATAGTTAATGTCATTGGTGACATAGTTAATGTCATTGGTGACATAGTTAATGTCATTGTTGACATAGTTAATGTCATTGGTGACATAGTTAATGTCATTGGTGACATAGTTAATGTCATTGGTGACATAAGTAATGTCATTGGTAACATAGTTAATGTCATTGGTGACATAGTTAATGTAATTGGTGACATAGTTAATGTCATTGGTGACAGATTTAATGTAATTGGTGACATAGTTAATGTCATTGGTGACATAGTTAATGTCATTGGTGACATAGTTAATGTCATTGGTGACATAGTTAATGTCATTGGTGACATAGTTAATGTCATTGGTGACATAGTTAATGTCATTGTTGACATAGTTAATGTCATTGGTGACATAGTTAATGTCATTGGTGACATAGTTAATGTCATTGGTGACATAAGTAATGTCATTGGTAACATAGTTAATGTCATTGGTGACATAGTTAATGTAATTGGTGACATAGTTAATGTCATTGGTGACAGATTTAATGTAATTGGTGACATAGTTAATGTCATTGGTGACATAGTTAATGTCATTGGTGACATAGTTAATGTCATTGGTGACATAGTTAATGTCATTGGTGACATAGTTAATGTCATTGGTGACATAGTTAATGTCATTGGTGACATAGTTAATGTCATTGGTGACAGATTTAATGTAATTGGTGACATAGTTAATGTCAGGATTGAAATTGCATCTTTTTTTTTTTTTACACCAATTAAAAAATAAAATAATTAAAGGACTGCATTCAAGCTAAGTAAGTGAAATAGCAAAACGAGGTATCCTGAGGCTTGAATTAAGGACATGACAATGAGATTGGAACGTTTCGGCACAGAGGCTTCTTCAGCGCACGGGGCAAATGAATATCATAAAAAAACGGAGCACAGGAAACAACTCAAGAAATATCCACTTTCGCAATCCCATTAATTTGAGGTCACCTCCCCTGGGCTGGAAACCTGTGCTGTAGTGTCTGGATTATCCCAAGATGATCACGTGGCATGTCTGGATTATCCCAAGATGATCACGTTGCATGTCTGGATTATCCCAAGATGATCACGTGGCATGTCTGGATTATCCCAAGATGATCACGTGGCATGTCTGGATTATCCCAAGATGATCACGTGGCATGTCTGGATTATCCCAAGATGATCACGTGGCAAGCTTCATTTATTAAAGTAGTTTGATGTTATTAAAAAATAACATAGTAAGACATTTAAATAATATAGAGATACAAGCATTAACATTGCCAAATTGTTTTTTATTCGAAACTAACCCTTGTTACGATTTGTTAGAAAAATGGGCTTGTAAATATTTAGGGACGGCTTCCAAACTAGAATTAGCCACACATAAATTGGGCACAATCTGCAAGAGTCATTAAGTGTTGAACTCCTTTCTACAGACCGTTTTATTATACTTATGATTAGCAAGCATATTATTAGATAGTCATCCATTACTAGAGATAAACAGTGGAAAAGGAAGCAACACGATTCTCGAGTAACCATAACGTTGGTTTTATTCAATAATAGAAAAAAATAGGAGCCGTTAGGATAGCAGTATCGCTTCCCCAACCGTTGCGCATATGCCAGTACATGGATGCAGCAACGAACCCTACCAGAACAAGAACCAGAATTAAAAAATTAAAACAAAAATGAAAATCAACTCTTTTATAATATATTTTTAATGAATTTGATCTGTTGAATTCGATTGGTTGATTTGATTGGTACAATTTGATTGGTTGATTCGATTGGTTGAATTTAAGTTTGAGTTTAATTAGTAGCATGGATAAAACATTACCATGTTACAGTAGCAATAAATCAATTAAAAATTATAATACAAGAATTATGGCAATACTAAGAGATTATGACGTCATGCAAAAGTATAATGGAGACTAAAGATCTAATAACAATAATAACGGTGGTATTAATATTTATTGATAATATGTAATGAGTATTTTGTGTAAGGCAAGGTTGACCCACTTATGGTTGCCCACTTATCTACATGACTGTACACGTTTTAGATTTCACGCTCAGATCTTGGCTGTCTTCGTGGGCACTTTGGTCAGCCGGCCTGGGGTCTAGAGCAGTATGGGGATTCCCCTGCTGTACACCAACGGATCTCAAATTCTGGATCTCATCCTCGAGCTGAGAAATTTTCTCATCTTTTTCTCGGCTTAACTGAAGAGCGTTGTTGAGACGCTCCTGGAGTTCTTGGATCTGATCAATAAATGAAACGTGTCAATAGCTTTTATAAATAGGCGTGTCAATAGAGTTTACACATAGGCGTGCCAATAGCTTTTACAAATAGGCGTGTCAATAGAGTTTACACATAGGCGTGCCAATAGCTTTTACAAATAGGCGTGTCAAAGCGTGTATGACTATCAATAGCATTATGATCACTACTATCAATAGCGTTTTTTTTAATAGCAGCCAATGGGCTTTGTAAGTTGTAACACGATGATCAAACTCAATTCTAACAGCGAAAGGGGGGGGGGGTGGGCGAAGCTGGGGACAGACCAGGGTTTACGTCAAACATTAGAGGCTAATAAATTGTGTGTGTCTTTTGTGGAGGGGGGAGTCACCTATGATAAGTTGTAACACGATGATCAAACTCAATTCTAACAGCGAAAGGGGGGGGGGGGTGGGCGAAGCTGGGGACAGACCAGGGTTTACGTCAAACATTAGAGGCTAATAAATTGTGTGTGTCTTTTGTGGAGGGGGGAGTCACCTATGGAATTTCGCCTCGGTTTGCTTTTTTTTTTGGGGGGGGGAAGGGGGGGGGGGGGCATTTAGTCAAGGTGCGCCACTGATAACATGATTGTAAAATGATGAGTCACTAAGTTCAAGGGAAGAGTTTGTGCACAAATGAGGGAAATAACTAGGGAGGAAAATGCTGATATGCCAAATTTAAAATTGGCATATCTTGTAATTGTAAAGAGGTCAACAAAAAGAAGACTAATTGAACAATTACGTTTGAGAAGGGACAATTCGATTTAGAGTTCCTAGAGTTTTCTCCCATCCCAAAAATTGTAACGTATCATCGTTATATAACTTTGTAATTTAACACTGTAATATAAAAATTTAATTAAAAATGTTATTTTCTTGAAGCTTTTTCCGGAACGAAATCACTATAAACTTTCAAATTATTAATTACATATTTTTATTTTTTTTTTAAGCTGAATAGAGCCAACTTCTAAAGACGATAAATATATTAGGCTCGGTTACTGATCTTCTAGTTCTAAAGACAACAAATATACTTGGCTACCGGTACAATATAAATGTTGTATTACTTGGGTGTCCTTATTTTGATCTGCTGATAAATTGCATCTCATCAGCTCCAAGTCGCTCTGGAGGAAGTAAATTTCTTTGTCCTTATTAGCAATGATCTCACTACTAGCATTGGTCAGTTTTTTTAACATCTCCAAGTCGTAATCTTTCCCTGCGAGCCTCAGCTAAAGTACACAAAATGTTGTTTAAACAGTGTCATTCCGCTCTTTTTATGTAACTACAAGCAGTTTCTATTACACTTAAATATTGTTATAATCTCTCTATATATAATCTCTAAATATAATCTCTAAATATGATTTCTACTAAATATTGCTCGTCGGAATTAATTTTTTTTCGATTTGAATCGTAAAGTAGCATGCCAAAAACGGAACATGACAAAATAGAGCCTGACAAAATGGAAAATGACAAAAGTGAAGATGACAAAAATGAAACATGACAAAATGGAAGATGACAAAATGGAAGAGGAAAAACTGGAAGAGGACAAATTGGAAGATGACAAAATGGAACATGACAAAATGGAAAGTGACTAACCTTCAGATCCTCGTTTTCTTGCTTCATTCTGTCCAAATATTCTATGACGTCATTTGGGATAAGATTTGTATTAGTTCTTGGACTAAATGACCCAACACCCTCTTTGTACCTGGACCAAGAAAATGACGGCCTTAGGCTGAGTAAATTGATGCATTATGTTAGGCCAGTTGTCGGCAAACTACTTAGTCAAAAGAGACAAAACTCAGCAGCAAGTTACAAAATTGTTGAGAGCCAAAACTCAGCAGCAAGTTACAAAATTGTTGAGAGCCAAAACTCAGCAGCAAGTTACAAAATTGTTGAGAGCCAAAACTCAGCAGCAAGTTACAAAATTGTTGAGAGCCAAAACTCAGCAGCAAGTTACAAAATTGTTGAGAGCCAAATTTATTTTCATAACCCGTCAAGAACCATTTTTTTTCGGAGTCAAATCTGAATTTTGGCCGCGATGGCCGAGCCGCACTCACGTCATTAAAGAGCCGCACTCAGGTCATTAAAGAGCCGCACTCAGGTCATTAAAGAGCCGCACTCAGGTCATTAAAGAGCCGCACTCAGGTCATTAAAGAGCCGCACTCAGGTCATTAAAGAGCCGCAACGCACTCAGGTCAAAAAAGAGCCGCACTCAGGTCATTAAAGAGCCGCACTCAGGTCATTAAAGAGCCGCACTCAGGTCATTAAAGAGCCGCACTCAGGGCATTAAAGAGCCGCACTCAGGTCATTAATGAGCCGCATATGGCTTACGAGCCACGATTTGCCGACCACTGGGTTAGATTGTAAGGGGCCCTAGAATAACTATATATGGGAGTAAGACATCAATTAAAGTCCCTAGTCTGGTTAATTTAGACGCACCAGACTGCATCAAAAGTAAGACAATTGTTTAGATTGGGGCAAGGAGACGATAATATGTGGGTTCCTTTTGTTCTAGACCAAATGATTTTCATTAAAGCAAATAAAAATAGAGCTTTAAATTGACGAGAGAAATCTATTATTAGCATACAAATTTCATTAATTTTGTTTTTTGAAAAGGAAGCAATGTATATTCTTGGAAAACAAACAAATCCGTCCTTATTCCATCTTAAAAAAGTGAATAGATTTCATACCTCTTAAAAGTGAACAGTTTTCATACGTCTCAAAAAGTGAACAGTTTTCATACATCTCAAAAAGTGAATAGTTTCATACCGTCTCAAATGTGAATAGTTTTAAGATATTTTTTTTTAAAGGTTGAATATATTAAATGTTAATATATCAACAAAATATGGACACAAACTTACTGGCAGGGGACGTCACTTTTGGGGTAATGAACGTCCTCTAAGTCTTCCCTCCCCTCGCAAGGGGCTGGGGGCTTAACCAGTAGTAGCTCAACAACAGGGGTAGAGTTCTCGTTCTTGTTGTCATTGTCTGCTATTAAATAAATCAATCATTACAGCATGCTTTCACGTCAATCACTTACCATAATGCGCCAAAGATGGTTGTAACCATTTTATTTAACATGCAATCATGTCTTATAGATGGTTGTAACCATTTTATTTAACATGCAATCATGTCCTATAGATGGTTGAAATCCTTTATGTAACCTACAATCATATCCAATATATGGTTAAGATAATTTTTTAGAGCAAACATCATGTCCTATAGATGCTTGAAATTATTTAATCTAAACCTGCCATCATGTCCAATAAATGGTTGTAATGATTTCATTTGAACCTACCATCCTGTCCGATAGATGGTTGAAATGATTTCATGTGAACCTACCATCCTGTTCAAAAGATGGTTGAAATCATGTAATATAAACTTACCGTCATCTTCAAAGTCATCTGTTGTTTCAATGGAGATGACCATGGCCACGTCACCATCCTCAACTACGTCATCTGCCTCATGTCGCGTCATCACTTGATTGTTGTTTGGCATACTCTCTATATCCTGAGTTTCACCCCTGCTGTCCTGAGTTTCAACCCTGCTGTCCTGAGATTCACCCATGTTGTCTTGAGATTCACCCCTTTTGTCCTGAGATTCACCCCTGCTGTCCTGAGATTCACCTCTGTTGTCCTGAGATTCACCCCTGCTGTCCTGAGATTCACCCATGTTGTCCAGAAGTTTGTCATCACCATGTTCACCAATAATTACTGGACAATCAGCAACGTGTGGTGTATCCAGAGATCTCTCCTTCGATACATCCACCACATCTTCACCTATAAAGGGGTGTGGATTATCAGGATGCTGTAGTGGATCCAAATCTACGTCCTTGTCCGCAGCTAAATCTGCGCTCTGGATCTCACCTGAAGTGATAGATGGGTTTGTCTGGACATCACCTGAAGTGATAGATGGGTTTGTCTGGACATCACCTGAAGTGATAGATGGGTTTGTCTGGACATCACCTGAAGTGATAGATGGGTTTGTCTGGACATCACCTGAAGTGATAGATGGGTTTGTCTGGACATCACCTGAATTGATAGATGGGTTTGTCTGGACATCACCTGAAGTGATAAATGGGTTTATCTGGACATCACCTGAAGTGATAAATAGGTTTATCTGGACATCACCTGCCGTAATAAATGGGTTTGTCTGGACATCACCTGCCGTAATAAATGGGTTTGTCTGGACATCACCTGCCGTAATAAATGGGTTTGTCTGGACATCACCTGAAGTGATAAATGGGTTTGTCTGGACATCACCTGAAGTGATAGATGGGTTTGTTTGGACATCACCTGAAGTGATAGATTGATTTGTTTGGACATCACCTGAAGTGATAGATGGTTTTGTTTGGACATCACCTGAAGTGATAGATGGGTTTCTTTGGTTCCCACCTGAAGTGATAAATGGGTTTTTTTGGTTCCCACCTGAAGTGATGGATGGGTTTGTTTGGTTCCCACCTGAAGTGATAGATTGGGAGGGAGGCAAAATGGATTGTGGAACTTAAGATATAATTAATTTTTAATGTAACCGTAACAAAGTTCAGTGACTTAGCGACGTTGTCCTATATCAGACAGGACATTCATTGATTGGCATATTTCAAATCTATACATACTTGTTTAAAATATATTAGAAAAAAATGATGGGATATGCTAACATGATATGTACGCCAGCTATAACTGAACTGTGTTAAAATGAATCTATTGTCTGGTTTTTTTTTATGTTTACCAGTCATGAGTAGAGGTATAAATTTTTAAAATATTTTTGGTGAATTTTAGAGAGTTAAGTAAGATCACGTAACAAGTCCACAGTCATATAACAATAACACTTACTGGTTGATTTATTGACAAACTGTTAACTATTATTGACTTTGATAGTGATAACAGTGGCAGTAGTAGGACGTGAACTTATTATAGATGAGGAATTGATTGATTTTTATGTGATGTGTGTTTTGTGTTGAGTAATGTCATGTTTTATGTGATGTGTTATGTGTTTTGATGTTTGATGTGATGTTTGTTTTTGTGTTGAGTAATGTCATGTTTTATGTGATGTGTTATGTGTTTTGATGTTTGATGTGATGTGTGTTTTTGTGTTGAGTAATGTCATGTTTTATGTGTTGTGTTATGTGTTTTGATGTTTGATGTGATGTGTGTTAAGTTTTGTGATGTTTACATTGATGTGATTTTTTTTCTTTGATGATTTTATGATGTTTGTTGTATGACTTGTGATGTTTGTTGTATGACGTGTGATGTGTGCTGTGCGATCTTTGATGCGTGTTGTTTTCTGTGTGATGTTTAAAACAACAAATGCTCTACTTACGTAACTAAAAAAAATAATAGCATCTTGTATCTTTGTTATTATCTAACTGCGAGCTGTCGTTTCTGTCAGTTCTATCAATCAGTGGAGCAGCAATGGTTATTGCCAATCGGGGTGAGCAAAGAATTTTAGCCCCCCCCCCCCTTATTATTTTTCTACTCTAATGTTCTGCACGTTGCCAAAAATCCCTTTCTTCAATATATAAAACACTTAGGCCCACTCTACCATCGACAGTGTTACGGTAAAATTGTTCAGTTTAGTTGGCTACAGTAAGAATTGTTCAGTTTAGTTGGCTACAGTAAGAATTGTTCAGTTTAGTTGGCTACAGTAAGAATTGTTCAGTTTAGTTGGCTACAGTAAGAATTGTTCAGTTTAGTTGGCTACAGTAAGAATTGTTCGCTTTAGTGGGCTACTGTAAGAATTGTTCAGTTTAGTTGGCTACAGTAAGAATTGTTCAGTTTAGTTGGCTACTGTAAGAAATGTTCAGTTTAGTTGGCTACTGTAAGAATTGTTCAGTTTAGTTGGCTACAGTAAGAATTGTTCGCTTTAGTGGGCTACTGTAAGAATTGTTCAGTTTAGTTGGCTACAGTAAGAATTGTTCAGTTTAGTTGGCTACAGTAAGAATTGTTCAGTTTAGTTGGCTACAGTAAGAATTGTTCAGTTTAGTTGGCTCGAGTAAGAATTGTTCAGTTTAGGTGGCTACAGTAAGAAATGTTCAGTTTAGTTGGCTACAGTAAGAAATGTTCAGTTTAGTTGGCTACAGTAAGAATTGTTCGCTTCAGTGGGCTACTGTAAGAATTGTTCAGTTTAGTTGGCTACAGTAAGAATTGTTCAGTTTAGTTGCCTACAGTAAGAATTGTTCAGTTTAGTTGGCTACTGTAAGAATTGTTCAGTTTAGTTTGCTACTGTAAGAATTGTTCAGTTTAGTTGGCTACAGTAAGAATTGTTCAGTTTAGTTGGCTACAGTAAGAAATGTTCAATTTAGTTGGCTACAGTAAGAATTGTTCACTTTAGTTGGCTACTGTAAAAATTGTTCGCTTTAGTGGGCTACTGTAAGAATTGTTCAGTTTAGTTGGCTACTGTAAGAATTGTTCAGTTTAGTTGGCTACTGTAAGAATTGTTCAGTTTAGTTGGCTACAGTAAGAATTGTTCAGTTTAGTTGGCTACAGTAAGAAATGTTCAGTTTAGTTGGCTACAGTAAGAAATGTTCAGTTTAGTTGGCTACAGTAAGAATTGTTCGCTTCAGTGGGCTACTGTAAGAATTGTTCAGTTTAGTTGGCTACAGTAAGAATTGTTCAGTTTAGTTGCCTACAGTAAGAATTGTTCAGTTTAGTTGGCTACTGTAAGAATTGTTCAGTTTAGTTTGCTACTGTAAGAATTGTTCAGTTTAGTTGGCTACAGTAAGAATTGTTCAGTTTAGTTGGCTACAGTAAGAAATGTTCAATTTAGTTGGCTACAGTAAGAATTGTTCACTTTAGTTGGCTACTGTAAAAATTGTTCGCTTTAGTGGGCTACTGTAAGAATTGTTCAGTTTAGTTGGCTACAGTAAGAATTGTTCAGTTTAGTTGGCTACTGTAAGAATTGTTCAGTTTAGTTGGCTACTGTAAGAATTGTTCAGTTTAGTTGGCTACTGTAAGAATTGTTCAGTTTAGTTGGCTACAGTAAGAATTGTTCAGTTTAGTTTGCTACAGTACGAATTGTTCAGTTTAGTTGGCTACTGTAAGAATTGTTCAGTTTAGTTGGCTACAGTAAGAATTGTTCAGTTTAGTTGGCTACTGTAAGAATTGTTCAGTTTAGTTGGCTACAGTAAGAATTGTTCAGTTTAGTTGGCTACAGTAAGAATTGTTCAGTTTAGTTGGCTACAGTAAGAATTGTTCAGTTTAGTTTGCTACAGTAAGAAATGTTCAGTTTAGTTGGCTACAGTAAGAATTGTTCAGTTTAGTTGGCTACAGTAAGAATTGTTCGCTTTAGTGGGCTAATGTTAGAATTGTTCAGTTTAGTTGGCTACAGTAAGAATTGTTCAGTTTTGTTAGCTACAGTAAGAATTGTTCAGTTTAGTTGGCTACTGTAAGAATTGTTCAGTTTAGTTGGCTACTGTAAGAATTGTTCAGTTTAGTTGGCTACTGTAAGAATTGTTCAGTTTAGTTGGCTACTCATTCTTAACAAGTCAAATCAACCCTACTGTAAGAATTGTTCAGTTTAGTTGGCTACTGTAAGAATTGTTCAGTTTAGTTGGCTACTGTAAGAATTGTTCAGTTTAGTTGGCTACAGTAAGAATTGTTCAGTTTAGTTGGCTACAGTAAGAATTGTTCAGTTTAGTTGGCTACAGTAAGAATTGTTCAGTTTATTTGGCTACTGTAAGAATTGTTCAGCTTAGTTGGCTACTGTAAGAATTGTTTAGTTTAGTTGGCTACTGTAAGAATTGTTCAGTTTAGTTGGCTACTGTAAGAATTGTTCAGTTTAGTTGGCTACTGTAAGAATTGTTCAGTTTAGTTGGCTACTGTAAGAATTGTTCAGTTTAGTTGGCTACGGTAAGAATTGTTCAGTTTAGTTGGCTACTGTAAGAATTGTTCAGTTTAGTTGGCTACAGTAAGAATTGTTCAGTTTAGTTGGCTGAAGTAAGAATTGTTCAGTTTTGTTGTCTACTGTAAGAATTGTTCAGTTTAGTTGGCTACTGTAAGAATTGTTCAGTTTAGTTGGCTACTGTAAGAATTGTTAAGTTTAGTTGGCTACTGTAAGAATTGTTCAGTTTAGTTGGCTACAGTAAGAATTGTTCAGTTTAGTTGGCTACAGTAAGAATTGTTCAGTTTAGTTGGCTACTGTAAGAATTGTTCAGTTTAGTTGGCTACAGTAAGAATTGTTCAGTTTAGTTGGCTACAGTAAGAATTGTTCAGTTTAGTTGGCTACAGTAAGAATTGTTCGCTTTAGTGTGTTACTGTAAGAATTCTTCAGTTTAGTTGGCTACAGTAAGAATTGTTCAGTTTAGTTGGCTACAGTAAGAAATGTTCAGTTTAGTTGGCTACAGTAAGAATTGTTCAGTTTAGTTGACTACAGTAAGAATTGTTCAGTTTAGTTGGCCTCAGTAAGAAATGTTCAGTTTAGTTGGCTACAGTAAGATCTGTTCGCTTTAGTGGGCTACTGTAAGAATTATTCAGTTTAGTTGGCTACAGTAAGAATTTTTCAGTTTAGTTTGCTACTGTAAGAAATGTTCAGTTCAGTCGGCTACTGTAAGACTTGTTCAGTTTAGTCGGCTACTGTAAGAATTGTTCAGTTCAGTCGGCTACTGTAACAATTGTTCAGTTCAGTCTTCTACCTTAAGAATTGTTCAGTTTATTCGACTACCATAAGAATTGTTCAGTTTAGTCGGCTACTGTAAGAATTTTTCATTTGAAAGAGTTTATTTTAAAGTACAAAAGTCACATAAACGGCTTCTCTCACCTGCTCGCATTGCTGACATTTTGATGACCTGGAGTTCAAGGTCACAAACTATTTCCTCCATATTTTCATCATCTGCCACCCAGTCCATTTTGTCAGCAAACCTCTGATCTATGCGGTCACGTGACAAACTGTAATGACAAGATTTATGTTCATGCAACCTGTCCTTCACTTTGTTCAGCACTGATTTACAGTGGTTCATTAGTCATGTTCGAGACAGATCAATACAT